GGAATATTCTTTCCAATCACTATACCATTTCAGCTCCTTCTTTCAATGCCAGTGAAGTCAGGTATTTTGGTCCATCAACTGTTACACTATCATCAGCTGGTCCCCAACTGTTACTATAAATATCAATATTGTTACGATAATAACTGAGAGCAGATGAATCAGTTAAATCTGTTGTAGCTCCCCCCAATAAACGAAGACCTGTCATAATTAATAGGCAATGAATGGATAAAGTATAATTCCCCTTACCTGCCATAGAGGCATCATAAGCTACACCTACTCCACAAACATTATTATCACGTCTCATGACAATTTCACCAGCACAAGCAGTTCCATGGGAATCTGTTCCAACAGGAGATGGGTCACTAACATTATGGTTAAAATCATAACTATAAGCTGACACCTACAAGTATATTAATATAAAAAGAGAGGGGGGAAATTAGAATATATAGTATTAAAAAAATTATACTTTTATTACCAGTAAGCAAAACTAACTATGTGTGTGGGTGAATTAAATAACATTAGTATTTAGCACTAATTAGACTACCTAAGGCAATAATTAGCATAACTTGGATAAGGTCATCCATAAATTGATTATCTCAATGCCCACTTACATAGTTATTCCTTAGGTCAGTATGAGTATGTTGTACTCCTACACAAAAATGATTAATGTGATTATGAGAGTGATAATCAACTTGCCATCATCCACGACACCAACTAATATTCCATTTCCAGTATATCCTTGTATCCATGCTGGCTCTGCATTCAGATCAAGGTAAAGGTTTGGCTCCCTGGTTTGACCAGTATTGTTCTACAATAAAAAATCCAGCTCTAAACTAGATGTCTAAATACAGTAGATATTGATGCAGTCATCTTGCTTAAATTTTCTCTATCACTGACTTCATCACTTAAGCCTGCAGCAATTGCTTATATATTGCATTAAAATCTAAGATAGGTCAGAAACAGTCACTGAGTAAAGAAGATTGTAGATGTGTTTTTAAACCTAGGCTTGCTGCAAGAGAAGAAACATCAGCTAGAATAGATCTCATGCTACATGCAGGTACATGCAGCTTATCATTTGCATTCAACTTATCAGAGTCCTTTATACAAAGAAAAAAGGATGTATAACTACTTTTCCAGCCTTTCTTCTTGCTACAGAAGTCTTTGGACAGCAGTTTATAGTCTTATCTTGCTGACTGTTTGCTGCAATAAGCTCAGACTTGCTAATAGCTGCCATTAGTGGGGCTCGCTCAGGCTCGCCCCAATAATCATGTGAAATTTTACTCCAATTGATAATACAATATCTGCTGTCTAATATGATGTTGATGATATATTGATCTCAGTATTATTTATGATCCTCTGATACTATCCATTATACTATCTATGATGTAACTTACAACTGTCCATTGTATATCCCACAGTGGATCTCCCTGACTTGTTGGTTGAGTATACTTCTTCTCCCACTCATGTAAACTCTGCTGCTGGACATACCCTACCTGCAGGAAACATGACAATGATATGTTATTCCGGTGAAATGATACCCAACAAAAATTATAACACTTATGGGATACAGTACATATGCATGCACTTATGTATGAAAGGATATTAATTATTAATGACAACAATTGGATGCATGATAAAAGGGTTACACTGTGTTGTATGTGCTCACAAAAGCACATTGAACTTGCTATGCATTGAGAAAAAGAGAAGGGAATTTAAAGAGAGCTAGGAGATAAACAAAATAATGAGCACAATAAATGAACATAAGATAATGCCAAAAAGCATAATAAGATAAAAAGTACTTCCATGAGGTTTTAATCACAAATTTCTTTGTGCTAAACCAAAATATATTGGTACATGACTAAAATTTTCATTGTAAATGCAGTTAGAGCAGGAAAAACAAATATTTATAAAGACCTACACATAATTATTTTGTTGCCAGCAAAACAGCAACGTGTTGCCAGGAGTGTAACAGCTTTTTATCCTTGGGAATATGTTGCAAGTGATGGCCACAAAACTTACTAAAACATGTTGTCTAATGTATGTATGGCTTTACCTTCATCTCAGACTTGAGGGCAGTTCTCATGTATTGGACTTCAGTACCAGATTTAACGTTTTCATTAACACTGTGGATAGAGGAGCTCATTTTGAAATGATAAATATTAGCAAAGGCACCAACCTACCAATGATAACAAGTCTAATATTTCATTAAGTGTTATTTATCTCTTACTCTTCCCATGTTAGTGAAACCATGTCTCTCTGCAATCTCATTAGCAGCTTCAATTCCACCATGAACCTCAACAGCCCAGCTATCAGTAAAGACTGGCAGTTGCTTCTGCCCTTCAATATATGCACCAATATCAGCAGCAACAATACTGAAAGTAACAGTTAGAGCTAACAACAAGGAGAAGGTCATCTTCTCCAACTAGAGTACACTCTAGGGAACAGGGAATTGGTATATTTTCCTTTATGATTTACAATGCATTCATCATCATGTTAATTGCCACACCCACCACCTGATTGTCATCATTATTATCTTTCTATGAATTACATGTATTTTTACTGGTTATAATATAGCAAGTAACACAACCAATAGAAGATTCAACTTTTAACTCATAAATATAAATTAGCATTAGTTTTTTTTCCTCACGGTTTCTTACTATGCTCACCCATTGTTAATAAATTATGCTTGTGTTGCAACTAGCACTTGTGGAACAATTGTACCTGAATCTAAAATACAATTAACAACTAGCCAATGCATAGGCATGGGAAGTCCAACTCCTGCATCAAATACTCAGAACTATCTTAACTTTGTAATTGGTCTGTCCATCTTCATTGTAGCATTGCTGATTGTAGTAGCAGGCCAAAGTGTCATTATTACTGTGCTTTTTGTCAATCGGTATAAAACACAATAATTGATTAAATTATTTTTACACTGACTAGACAAAATTAATCTGTCAAAAAGACAAAAATGAAAATATTCCAATGCAAGCTTGTGAGCCATATGAGCTGCACAGATTTTAACTTATTATATTGTTCTTTAACTTAAATGTTGTAGATGCATTTTGCTTATTAGAATTATAGACTTTATACTATTATTTTGGGAGTTCTTTAAGCTTAACTATGCCATGCACATGATTGGCATTACAAAGCTTGGTTGATTCACTACTGACTGTTTGAAATAAAAATTTATAAAAATAGGGAAAACAAGACAAAAGTTCAAAAAGTCTGATCATTTCTAACACTACACTACTAAAAATGACACTCTTAAGTGGTACTCTCTTTGCACCACATCTACATATTGAAGGCAACTATTATCAAAATAAAGAGGAGGACACAATTTCCAATGGCACTCCATCCTGAAGAAGGTGATCCAGAAGGTGATCCAGAAGGTGATTCAGTAGGTGATGCAGTGGGTGATTTAGTAGGTGAATCACGAGGTGTATAGCAGTAGCCACTTGCAATTTCGTTAGGCAGTAGACACTCAGAAGGTTGGATACATCTCAGTGTGGTAGGATTACGTAGCAGAGTGCTTCTACAAGCATCACAATACTGAGGACCAGCAGCAGCACAACCTTTAGTACGAGCACAATCTGAATGACACTGATTAGGAATGCTTGAAACAGAAGAAGGGATACTAGACACTCCATATAAACTAACTGAAATGTTACTTAAAACAGCAGATCCTCTATTTGAATTCCTCCAGTTGATACTAACAGTCCATTGGCCATTAGGATTCTCTCCCCAATGAAGAACACTTAGAAAAGACCAATTAGAGTAGCCGTCAGTTGTCACAATGTCGTAAGGACGATTGAAAAGAAGAGTTGATGTTGAGTCCATTGGTGATGTTAAATTAGCACTAATGTCACCTCTTTTAGCTCTGTTGTCATATCTGTTAGGATGCAGGGTACCATTGATATAGTCTTCAATAATAACATCAAGAGCATTATCTTCATTAACCTCATAACGATATCCACTGGCATTCAGTGACATAGTTACTACAATGTGT